TGCCCCCGGCCCCTCCCCTGGGCTTCAGGGCCTTCCTCTGCGAAGTCTCGGCCTTCGTGATGCAGAGTGAGACCCCCGTGCTCGTGGCCTCCTCTTCCTCACAGACAGGGCGGGGGTTCCTCTGCCCTCCCTGCTCTGCTTCTTTCTATAGACGCCCAACCAGGGACTGGACATGTTTGGGGGACACGGGGCTGAGGAGCTGTGCCCCCTCCACCCGCCGGAATAACTGTGGGGGCCCTGACCAGGCCACCTGGAGCAGCCAGGCAGGGCAGGGGCAGGGGGAGAGGCTTGGGGTCCACTGGCCTCACGGGGGTCTCAGGCTGGGAGTAGGGGTGAGAAGGGAGAGGACGAGCAGGCTCGGGAGTGCAGGGCTGCCCGGGTGGCGGAGGGAGCCTGGATCCGGGGCCCTGATGGTCAGGCTGGGGTCCTGGGGTGCTGCCCCGCACCCTCGGAGAGCGGCCACGCCTTCTCACTGTTCCTGCCACCCTAGGCCAGGGCCGCAGGGGCAGCTGGGTCCATCTGGAGGGTGGGGAGGGGCGAGGGGCCACAGGGTGCAGTTGGGGCTTAGCTGGACAGAGCACAGCAGTGGGCAGGACACACGCACTGCCCTCCTCCATCGGGGGCTGCCCCGCAAGGTCTTGTCTCCTTTGTGGATTGGAAGCAGTGAAGATTGAAAAGGTGGGGGGCCCCACTGGGGGCCCCACATGGTGGTTTCCTGGTGGCCCTACCCTGCCCTGCTCGCCTGGGGCGACTGGAGGCCAGTTCTGCAGGAAGGTGTGGCTCTGAGGGCCATGTCCCGCCCTGTGGGGGGAGCGCTAGGGGCAGTATCTCCTGTTCCCTGCGGACTCCTCCAGCTCAGAGCTGGTGGGGGACAGCCTAGGTCCCAGCTGTGTGTGGGAGGCTCAAGGTCGTGGGGCCCCTGCTGCGTGTGGGCTGGGCAGTTGGCAGTCTGTGGGAGGGTCACCTTGCTGTGTGGCCAGGGCGGCCTGACTTGGGAGCCTGGAGCCATGTGCCTGCCTTCTGTCACCTGCTTCCCGCCTGGGGCTCTGTGGGCATGAGCGATGGGCCAGCCCAGGCTGGGCTGGCCCTCATGGTGGACCTGAGAGCTCATTGCTGCTCCCAGGCTGCTGGGGGATGGTTGGTGGGGGGCACACAGGCTGTGGGGTGTGGGCCCCCTCGTTCCCCAGGACCCTGGCAAAGGGGTAGCAGTCTGAGGGCTTCTCACTGCAGTTCCTGGTTGCTGGTCAGTGGAAAGGGTAGGGCCTTCGGAGCCCTTGCCCGGCAGGGTGGCCGCCCTGGATCCCCCTTCCTTTCACACCAACCCCTGCAGAAGTGTGGTGTGGGATCCGCCCGGAGGAGGGCTTTTTTCTGCTTTTCTTTGTTTTAATTGAGGTGACGCTCAGGTCACGTAAACGAAGCAGTGGCGTTTAGCACATGCGCTCTCGGGCACGTGTCACCCCACTTGCTCCAGAACGTGCTCGTCGCCCCTGAGGAGACCCCGCGCCCACCTGTCCACCAGCCCTGGTGGCCACCCACCTGCTCTCTGGGTCTGCAGTGGCCCGCCCTGCATGGTCCCCGCAGGGGGACTCCCAGCGTCCGGCCTCCACCGTCTGGTCTCCTTCCCCAAGGGGAACGGTCTCCGCGGCTCAGCCCCACGAGGGGCTCCTCTCCGTGGCTGATTTTCTGTGGTGGATGCAGCCGGTGTGTTTACCGTTTGTCCAGTGCCAGACATTGCATTGTTCCCGGCTCTGGCCGTCGTGACCTGGGCTGTGATGGACATTCATGCACGAGTGTCCGTGTGAGTCCTGCCTTCGAGTCTTCTGGGCACGTGCGCCTGAGCGGAATTGCTGGGTCCGTTGCTGACTGTTTCACTTGTTATGGGAGGCAGTGTTTTCTGTGGGTGGAAGGGTCTTCCCGGAGTGGAGAGAGCAGGGAACAGGGCACCGTCCCCGTCCTACAGCCTGGCCTCCTGGTTCCCGTCTCTTCTGCCACCACCGGCAGCTTTGGGGAGGGTAGGGGTGCCCGGGGAGGGGCTTGGGGAGCAGGAGCGAGGGACAGCCAGCATTTCCGAGTCGGTGTCTGCATCACATGCCCACGGGAGCCTGGCTTGAGGGCCAGAGGCAGCCTCCCTCCAGAAAAGGTCACTGTCCAGTGACCCCAGCACTGGGAGGAAGCCCAGGACCCCTGGACGGAGGCCAGAGCCTGTGGGGGGCTGCCACACCTGCCTGTGGGAGGGGCTCTGCTGTGCCACTGGAGGGAGAGGCCACGTCTGGGGGTCGCGTCGTTCCGAGTCATGCTCTCTGCCAGCGTCTGCATGGGCCCCGGCTCTGGGCCAGGGATTGTCTCCCAGCAGCTCAGAGCTGGGCTGGGACCTGGCCTATGACCTCCAGATTCTGCCTGGGCTCAGGCTACCCCTGAGACCTGCCGGTCGGAGGGGCCCGTGTGGTGCCTGCTGGGCTGGGAGACGCACCCCCAGACTGGCTTCGTGGGCGGGGAGGGCAGGGAGACCCACCCCAGTGGAATGCTGGTCCATGGTTCCCAGCCCAGAGCCGAGTGGGGCCTGGGCTGCAGAGAGGAGTGTGGGCTGCCGGCCGTCATCTGCTGGCACTGGGGCCCAGTGCACCCCATGCTGGGGTCGCTGGTGGATGGACGGGTCCCTCTACAAGGAGCCAACTGGTGAGGTTTGTGAAGCGCGCTGGCCTGGGCCTGCGTTTCCCGGGATCTGCTTCCAGAAACCCTGCGCAGACCTGGAGCCCTGACAGAGGCCAGGCTGGGGCCTAGTGCCCGGGAGATGGTCTTCCAGCTCTGGGGCCACCTTTCCTTCCCAGGCCGCGCAGGGGCTCTGGGCCCTTGGCTGCCCGCCTCCCTCTGGCCCCACGGCCCCAGCCCAGGCCTGGCTGCCGCACCAGGAGGAGGTCATCACTGGCCTCATCCTGCCCCTGGCAGGGCTGCTGACCCCCCTGGGGTCCCCACAGAACCCACCGTTACCTGCCAGCCCTATCCAAGAGTGCAGTGGAATTGCAAGACGATGGCTTCAAGCGGGGCAGTGACCCTCCCTGGGCCCTTGCCTCTGCGCTGTCCCCTTCATCTCCCATGCCCCCCCCCTTGCCCAGGATGCTGGGTCCCTTGCCTGTGTCCTCGAGCCCCAGCCAGGTGCACAGCAGGGGCTTGGCAGAGGGGAGCCCGCCGACTCTGGCCCGGGTCAAGATCACGTCCCGCGCAGTCTGGGCCGCCGTGGCCTGAGGAGGGGCCTGGGGGAGGGGCAGCCCCCCACCCCCCACCCTCCCGTCTCTCTGAGGAGTGTGATGTTCGTTCTGCGTTTGCCGAGGGTGTCCTGCAGCCCCCTGTGTGCTGGCCTGGGCCGGGTACGGAGACCCAAGACCACTGGGGTCCTGTCCCTGTGCTGAGGGTGGCACGGTCCAGCCGTGGCGGAGACAGGTGCCGAACAGCCCGCCTGACGCTGAGCCCCGCGGGGCTCCCTGGGGGTCCTGGAGCCGAGGCGTACTGCCCGGGGCTCAGGGGCAACTGAGGGCCTCCAGGATGCCCTACCAGCGGCACACGGAGCCACAAGCTGGTACACATCACGGGTGCCAGGCCAGCACCCAGGCCTTTTTCTGGGGTGTGTGGTGGCCCATGGGGTCAGGGTGGGGTGCTGGCAGGGGTGCCGTGCCCTTGTGTGGCCACGCGTGCCCAGGCCCCTGTCGACCCTGCGTGCCAGCAGCTAGAAGGAGCTCTCTGGGTCTGCCGCCTGCCTGCCTGGCACACACCCTCCCTGTTCCCCACTGAGCAGCCGGAGGGCAGGTCTGGCCGGAACTTCCCCGCGCCCCTCCCACCTGGCGCACTCCTCGTGCACAGGGCTGGCTGCTGTGCTGTCTCCCCAGTCCCACCCTGACTCCTGCCCCGGGCACCCCAGCTCTGACCCCTGCGCTGGGCCGACCTCTGTCTCATCCTGTGTCATTCTCTAGGAATTCCCAGAAAATTCCTGGCTTTAACCTCTGCAGGCCTGGGCTGACGGTTGCCTCCCGGCCCTCCCGAGGAGAGTTCCGGCCACAGCCCTGCCTGTGGGACTGTGGCCGGCTGTGGCCTCAGTTGGACTTGGGGTCTTATGGGGACACTCCCAGGCAGGGGCAGAGGTGATGAAGCCATCAGGGGAGGCTTGGCCTGGCTGGGAACGCCAGCACGGGGCTGTCTGAGCACTGAGGCTCTGGGAGAGGGGCTGCTCCCTGCGTGGCCAGGAGGGGCTGGGGCTTCTAGTAGCAGCAGCCTGTGGGCCGCACTGGCCCCTGACCATTTGTGTCCTGTGGCACTTTGGGGTCTCTGCGTGGTCTGTGCCTGCCTCGGGGTCACATTTCCCACGACACTGGGGGAGCTCAGCCTTTGGCCTTGAGAGGCCAGGAGGAGAATAGGGCCCCTCTCAGACCTCAGGTGGGCAGCCGGGGGGACAGGGGTGCTGGGGGGCTGAGGGGACTGCTCCTCCACTGTTACCCTATTCCTGTCCCTCTCCCTGTTGGCAGCTGTGACTCCATAAGGTCCTGGGACCAGGAGTGTGTGGGGCAGTGATGCGGGTCTGGGGGCAGCTGTGAGGGTCTTTTTCTGGCCTCAAAGTGGGTGGGGGGGGCTTGATTCCCTGGGACACTGACCGCGGGACCAGAACACGAGCATAGGCCGTTCTTGTGAGGACCCAGGAAAGCAGGCATCGCTCCTGTCTGGGAGAGCAGGGTCCACTCCCGGGCCAAGCCACTTCTGCATGGCTTTCCGGAAACCACCCCCACCCAAATGCTGTAGGACAGGCTGCTTGTCCTGGGTGGGACCCAGGTGCGTGTGCCTCCCTGGCTGTGGGACGGACACGTGGGGTGTCCCCCTCTCATGGGGTCTGTGTGCAGGGGTGAGGTTTGCCCATCTCTGCTGGTCCGTGCCCTCTTATGGCCTCTCGGGTCTGGGGCTTGGGGTGGGCCGTGGCTGGGGGGCTCCTCACCACTCACCAGTGTCTCCCTCCACAGACGTGGATGAGTGCGCCGACGGGAACGGGGGCTGCGAGGACCAGTGCTACAACACCGTGGGGGGCTTCTACTGCCACTGCCCCCCTGGCCACCGGCTGCAGGGAGATGGCAGGGCCTGCCAAGGTAGGTCCCGGGCCCAGCCCACCATTGCCCACTGCCACCGTCCCCCACCTGGCCGGGCCGGGCCTGGGGTTGCCTCCTCCGTGGTCCCCAGGGCCTCCCTGCGTGGGGCCCCCGTGATGGGACCCTCTCTGCCCAGCCTCCTTGCCATGCCTTTAGGGCATCCACGTGTCTCCGAAAGTGAGGCTTGGGGGGCTCAGAGAACCTGTTGTGGGTCGAGGGCGTCCTGGGGGCTGTGCTGGGGGAGATGCAGTGGGGAGTGTAGGCGTGGCCAGCAGGCCCGAGCACAAGCACTGGGGGCGGGAGGGTGGGCCGTGTCCCTGGGCGTGCGTGTGGCACCGGTGGGCACTGAGCCCTGACTCAGGCTTGCTGAGGCCTGGTCCGGCCCCGGGGAAACTGTCTCCCTCAGCCAGCAAGATCAAGAACAGACAGGAGATTCCTCTGGGGGTGGAGAGGGAGAGGGACGATTAGGGGTGAGGCAGGGAGAAGGCGGGGCAGAAGGCTGGTGCTAACCCCTAGTGCCCCTTCACACTCCTTTGTCGGGCGTTGCCCCCACCTGACCCTGAGTGCATGCCCATCGGGCCGGCGACATCGGTCCCCTTGCCCCATGTTGGACTGTCGTCCCCGTCTCCGTGTCCCGGGAGAACGCAGTCTCCTGCTGGGCCAGCCGGGGAGGGGGGGCGTCTGTCAGAGGGCTGGGGGGGCGTACAGCCTGCTGGGCTGGGGTCTGGGGGTGTGGGAGTCTGCCCTGCAGAGGGGTTTGCACACATGGGGTGTCCCTGTGCTGATTCTCCTTTCCAGCGCTTTCATGGCCAGAAGGAGTCTGGAGGGAGGGGAACCAGCGCAACAGGGACAGGGTCCTATGACCGATGGAGGGCGGGCAAGAAGGACTCCCCCGAGTTCTGGCTTTGGCCTTGGTTTCCTTTCTGAGAAATGGGTCCCCTTGGGATGAGAGAACCCATGGGGTCTGTGCCCCCCACCCCAGGACGCACTGCGTGCAGGGGAAGTTGGGGCAGGTGTCCCAAAAGCCAAGGTGTCCGGCAAGGTGTCTGGCCAAAGCCAGGTGTTCGGCAGCCCATCGACGTTGTAGAACCACGGGGCTGGGGGTTTGGTGCCAGTGAGGAGAGTCCTGGGGGTTTGGGGACTGTGTTTGAATGTTCCCACCTGGGAGCCCCCCTGGCCTTCAGAATGAGACAGCTGGACGAGTCCCTCCTCTACGGACAGCCTCATGCTCCCCTAAGCGGGGAGCAGGTGTTGGTATAGTGCATGAATTGGGGGACCCAGAGTGGGCCAGGTCCAGGGCAGTCCCATGAGCCTCAACCCCCTGCCAGCGCCCCCGGCCTCCGCAGATCCCAAGGATGCCCCGGTGCAGGACACACATGTCATCCCTTGGTTCCCCCAGGCGTCAGCCCAGGCACCCCCGGAGGATCCCGCTCCAAGCCCCTGCCTGCTGGGGCTGGCCTGGCCCGTCTGGGCCTTAGCTCCTGCATCCGGGTCTCCAGCCCTGGGAAACCGGCTTGTATACAGTTTGAGATGGCCTCAAGGTCCTCACCGTGAGGGGCTTTCTAGCCCAGGGGCCTCCCAGATTGGGGCTGGACCTTGGGTTTCCTATCCTCTCCCGTCTGGTCCTTGGCCCCCAGAGCTGGGAGAGCAGCCCCAGACCCTTGTCTGTGTCCAGGAGGCCCTGGAGAAGGTGTTGGGGCTGCTGCACAGCTGGGGTCTTCTGACCCATGCCGCAGGCTCCCAGTGCTGACCTGGGGCCCCGGCGGCCGGGGCGGGTCCTGGAAGATAAGTGTGCATTCCAGCCACCGGCCAGAACCCTGCGCCGAGTCAGCACAGCACAGGGCCTGCAAACACAGCCTCTCTGAGTTCCTTTAGGAAGCTTTGGAATCCCTTAATCCACCAGGTCACGAAGGACAGGCTAGGCTCTGCCATCTGGCAGAGCTGTCCGAGGGCAGCGCTGTGGACAGAATGACCAGGAGGGAGGTCAGGCCAGGGGCACTGGCCTCAGACCCTGCATCCCACAGGGCCGGCCCTTTCTTTCCTCCCCACCCCAGGCCCCTCCTTGGCCTCGGCCTCTGGGAGTTTGCAGACCCCTAGCCCTGCGTGTTTGGGATGGCTGGAGCCCCGAGTCACCGCGCGGCCGGCAGCCGAGAGCCAAGCGCCTGCTGTGTTTTCTCTGTCCCTCTGCCAGCCCAGCCCAGCCCCCCTGAAACTGCAGCTCCGGCCAGCACACAGGACTGCTGGGGCGGCCAGCGGCCGTGAGCGAGCAGAGCCAGCAGGAAATCAAGATGTTACCTCCGAGGGGAGGACGGCTCTGCTCGCTCACACGTAGGGTGGTGCGCCCGAGGTGATGGTGGGGTGAGCCCAGAAACCGCTCCCGGTGATGAATGGACACTATAAAACCCTGAGCGCTGGCATGGGAGCCTGGCTGGACGGCGCCTTGGCCCTTGCTCCAGGAGCACAGCCAGGCCCGTGTGCTTGTCATGTTCTGGGACACCGTCCTGGAGCAGGAGCCATGAGCTCCGGGAGGCGGGGAAGCCGGGCGCACGCGCGTCTCCAAGGCGAGGCTGCATGGCTCCTGCCGTCTCTTGCTTCCCCGGGGGTGCCAACTCGGCCTCTGTCTGCCTCCCCACATCTGTGGGCAGAGGCTTTAGGGAGGCAGCGGGGCTTGGAGAGAAAGGCAGCCCCTCTCCCTGTAAAACTTGTGCCCTGACAGCCCCAGGGGCTCTGGCCCTGCTCTCCATGTTAGCACCTCTAGGAAGGCCATCCCAGCGCCGGGCTCTGGCGTCCGTGAGGTCCCCGATGAGCCTCAGCTTGGTACCTTGGGTGACTCTGAACCTCAGTCTCTTTATCCAGAATGTGGAATGAAAAAGACTCTTGGCTCTCCAAGAACCACAGAGGAGCCGGGAAACCTCTCCAGGCCCCTGGCCCAGCGTCCATGGGGGCGCCCAGCCCCAGGACAGCTTTGGTGGGGAAGGGGGGTGACGGGGAGCAAAGGGCCATCCCACCCTGAGCTGGACCCGTCCTCCACCTGGCCTCGGGGTACTTGCTTCGTGAACAGGGTCCTCAGGAACCCGGCCCTGGGGTTGTGGAGACCACCCTGAGGCCAGAGTGGGGGGTCTTCGCGCCTGCCCCATGCCCTGCCCCACCCCACAGCGGGCTGGTTGGGTCCGCGGTCCGGAGCATCCCATCTGGAAGATGTGGCCAGCTCCACGCTAGGCCAGATGGTGTGGCCTGAGGACTGCAGTGACATTGCTCCTGCTGGGGGGAGGTCTCGGTCCCACCCCCCGGGGGAGAAGGAGGCTGCCGTTTGGAGAGAATCGGCTGTCTCCCGGGGGGGATGTGAAGCCCGCAGGCCCGCTTTCCCACGGTGAGCCACCCGCGGTTCCCACCGCTCTTACCCCCCTCCTTGCAGAGATAAGGGAGGCTCTGGGGAGGGGCTGTGCAGGGGAGGGGGCTGTGCAGGGGAGGGGGCTGTGCAGGGAGCAGGAGCTTCCTCCGGAGCACGTCCTCCTCGGCCCAACGCGAGAACAGCTGGCTCTTTTGTGGGGTGCTGGGTAGGCTCACCCCGGCTTCTTGGTTCCGTCTTAGCGCAGGGTGGCTGGGCAGGGCTGGGGTCTGCATGGGGGTGTCTGTGGGAATCCCATGGGGACTTGGGACAGTACCAGTGTCCCTGCGTCCCGGTTCCTGTGGGCCCAGCTCGGGTGTCTGCACTGAGCAGGTGGCTCTCAGGCCCCCCCGGCCCCCGGGGAACACCAAGGGAACCCGCTGCGAGGCACGTGTGCTCAGGGTAGTTTGGGCACAAAGCGGCTTCTCCGTGGCCTCGCCCGCCCAGCCGCCCACCTCGGCTGTGGCCACGGGCTCCAGGCCTGTCTCCCTCCTGAGAAGCTGCTGGGCAAGTGCTTCTCTCTCCCTCCCACTCTGCCTGGCCTGACTGCTGGCCTGGCCTGCACCGGCCTCCTGGAGATGGTTGCCTGCGTCGCACCATCCCGAGGGAGAGGCAGGAATGTGGGAAGTGACAGGCCTTGATTAGGAACCTCCAGGGCTCGGGCTCGGGGCTGGGAGGGCCGTGGGCAGACTGGAGCCAGCTGTGCTAGCCTGCGGCAATGCCCTGGCGGGGGGGGTGGCCAGGGGAGCTGCTGGGCACCCTCATCGTGGCGCCTGGGGGGCACCGACTGCCCTTCCATAGACCTTCATGGGGGTGGGGGGCTTTCTCTGACCCTGTCCTGGAGTCCTTGGTCCCTCCCACCCACCCAAGAGAGTCTCAAGGGAGGTTCTTTCATTTCCCAGGACAACCCTGCTAAACCCGGAGAAGGGGAAGGGTGGCGGGAGCCGTCATGGTGATGGGAGCCATCATGGTGACTGCAAGAAGGATGCCTTGTCTTGTCCAGCGCACACTGCAGGCCGGGCCAGTTCCGCTGCTGGTTCTCAGGCTGCCCTGGGGCCCCACCTTATAAAAGGCAGCGGGGTCGTGCACCTGCAGTGCTACGTCTGGGCTCACACAGCTGGGGGCGGCGGGGAGTAAAGCCTGGAGTGATGTCCTGGGCGCTCAGGCCCCATATGGGGGTCCCCGTCCTATACCCTCCGGCTCGGGCCCCGTGTGGCGGTCCCCGTCCTATCCCCTCCGGCTCGGGCCCCGTGTGGGGGTCCCCGTCCTATCCCCTCCGGCTCGGGCCCCGTGTGGGGGTCCCCGTCCTATCCCCTCCGGCTCGGGCCCCGTGTGGCGGTCCCCGTCCTATCCCCTCCGGCTGGCCCCGTGTGGGGGTCCCCGTCCTATCCCCTCCGGCTCGGGCCCCGTGTGGCGGTCCCCGTCCTATCCCCTCCGGCTTTGCCAGCTTCTCTGGAGCTGGAGGAGCCCCTTGCTTGTTCCCTGCCATCCAAGCTGGCAGGGCCTGGCACGTAGTGGGCACCCGACAGGTGTCTGTGGAGTGACTGGTTTGTATGGGTCCGGAGACCGGGACGGGAGAGGCCACCTGGCAGGCTCATCGCGCACCTGCGGG